CCCAGCCCACTGTGGGTGGTGCCACCCCTGGGCAGGTGGGCCTGTGTTGCATAAGAAAGCAGGGTAAGCAGGGGCTAGGGGAGCAAGCCAGTAAGCAGCGTTCCTCTATGGCCTGTGCTCCAGCTCCTGCTTCCAGGTTCCTGCCCAGAGTTCCTACTTTGGGCTCCCTGATGAACTACGACCTGGGAGATGTAAGCTGAATAAACCCTTTCCTCCCCAAGTTGGTAGTTATCAGAGTGTTTTGTCACAGCAATTAAGAAACAAACTAGGACAGTACGTTCACAATACCTGTTTCAAATACTGTGTATGTCAGGAAATTTCACATAAAATGTTGAAAATATGTAAGAATCATAGTTACAGATCTTTCTGCAGTCTACCTAGTTCAATCAACATGAAGCTAAAGACTGAACATGCAGCCTTATTTTTATACAGAAGTGTGTCCAAAGATGAGATTGACCATACTCACCTACAGATTGAGAGGTGAACGCTGCCACAATCTGGGGGCTGGCCAGAGCCTCCAGCCTATTCTTCAGAGCCTCCAAGTGCACACATTTTTCTGAGTAGTCTGGTGTATCAACAAGCATCATCAAGCTATTCTGCATACCAGTTAGCTTGGCAGAAATCACAGTTATATCCTATAAAAAGACCAGAACAGAGGATGTTTATTTTAAAAGACTCCCACTACCTCAACTGGAAATGGATAAAATACAGTAAAAAGCAACTCATTGGGCTGCTGAGATGGCTCAACAGGTAAAGATGCTTGCTGCCAAGCTAGATGGCCTGTGCTTGATCACATAGTAGAAGGAGAGAACCAACTCTCACAAGTGGTCCTCTGACCTCCACATATGTACCATGACATACAAATAAAATATAATTAAATTTTTTTTTTTAGTAAAAAAGGTAACTCATGGGCTGGAGAGATGGCTCAGTGGTTAAGAACATTGACTGTTCTTGCAGAAAACTCAGGTTCGAATCCCAGCACCCACACGGCAGTTTACAACTGTCCATAACTCCAGTTTCAGGGGATCTGGCAGCCTCTTCTGTTCTCCACGGGCATCACACAACATAGGTGCACTTACCAACATGCAGGTAATACACACATACACATAAAATAAAAATAATAAAATATTTCTTTAATAAAAGGTAACTCATAAGATTTAAAAGTGGCCCACAGGGGCTGGAAAGACGGCTCAGTGGTTAAGAGCACTGACTGCTCTTGCAGAGGACCTGGGTTCAATTCCCAGCACCCACATGACAGCTACAAACCATCGTTAACTCCAGTTCCAGGGGAATCTGAAGCCCTCTTCTGACCTCTGAGGCTTTGCACGACACAGGTGCACTCACATACATGCATATACATAAAATATAATAAAATATTTTTTCAAAAAGTGGCCCACAAACATCATGTTTAACATTATTAGCACCCAAAGAAACACAATTTAAAGAAGCACTAGGGCTAGAGAAATGGCTCAGTGGTTAAGAGCACTAGCTGCTCTTGCAGAGGACTGGGGTTCGATTTCCAGCACCCACACCCTCTTCTGACTATGGGCACTGCATGACATGGGTGCACTTACATACACGTTTCTGTCTGCTGCTATTGACGCCCCTATGGCTCTGATTTCCTTCCTAAATGACGTTCAGTGTCCCACAGATAGGAAACCTACTTGAGTCTTAAACGTCTCCTCAATATCAGCACTCAGCGTGCTCCACTTGTCTGCTTCCTGAAGAGACTCAGCGGCAAGCTGCATTCTAGACTTCACCTGGTCGATTTCAACCAACACCTGAAGGAGAAATGGGGTGCAAAATTAAATGTCGGTTCTTTTGAAGTTGAAGGCACCAAGCAGAAAGGTGGTTGGCATGCTGGATAGAGTTCTGAGTTCAGTATGGCTTCCCACAGAGTTCTGCTGCTTAACACACACACACACACACACACACACACACACACACACACACAACCCCCCCTATCCCCAACCCTCACCCCCACCCCTGGGAGAGGGAAGGTCTGCTGAATAAAGAATCCTGGCTGACCTGCATGGACTGTGAGGTGTCCTGCTCAAATTTCTTAATGTCCTCCTTGACAAGAATCATCTGTTCTTTCAGAAAAGAGGCCTCCTGCTTCAAGGCTTCCACATCACGGAGCACTTTGGGCATGTTCTGAAGGGCCTGGAGACTTGTTTCTGCAAGAAAAATTCAAGAATGGCAATGAACACAAAAGGTGAAAACTGGAGCAATCAAAGTGAAAAGCAGGACACACATGAGGCAACTTTCCCTACAACATTACCGATCAGGTTTTGGAGGCTGCAGGAGACATGGGGCAGAAAAGGGATAAGCAGGGAGGTGGCCTCAGCCAGAACTTTGTCTCCTGCAGGCTGAGTGAAGCTATTTGCTTTAATGAGCAATACACACCAACATGGCCCAAGACCACCTGCTGCAAGAAAGACTGAAGGAGAAAGGTGTGGTGGTGCATGCCTGTAATCCCAACTCTCAGGAGGCTAAGGCTGGAGGATTTCTGTAAAATTGGTGCAAGGTTGGGCTATATAGGGAGTTTCAGGCCAGCCTGAACTACATAGTGAGACTTTACCTCAAAACACAAAGAGCTGGGGATGTAGCTCTGGGGTGTACCTGCCAAGCCTTCTATGTGCTTCTCTGCTTTTCTGGGCCTTTTTTGTTTTCAGATTTTTATTTTGTTGAACTTTTTCTAAAGTACCTTTCTGCTAATTCCAACCTTCTCAGGAATATATTCAGCTTTCCTAATCATGAAGAGGTACTACTTCAAAGGACCACTGGGTTCAGTGTAGAGCAGGAATGAAAAATGTATTTGCCACATGACCTGTGAATATGGTTCGTTCTTATTTTAAAATGAATTGGGTTAAGGATATCTTCCAAAGATGTTCATCCAAAATAGGTCACTGCTATGAATCTCTGTGCTCTCTCAGCAAGTCCACTAGGTGTCAGTGCAAACGGAAGGCTTCTGCTTGGAGATTTCAACTATCCATGGAGCATTCTAAAGGGAAACCCAAAACTCTGACCACTGAGCCCTCTAGTCCTGAACTCAGAGTCTTTAAAGTGGGGCCAAGGGCAGGGGATAGGAACAGGCCTGATCTACAAATGAAAGCAAGCCTGTCTCATGTCTTCCCCTGATGTGTGGGTAACTTTTATCAGCTCCCTGGATGCTGTGGCTGCCACAGTGAAGATGTGGAAACAGAGTTAAACACCTAACCCAGGTGTCTTACAAGTTTGGGGACAAAGGAGGGTGCATGTGTAATATGTGGCCCTAGATGATGACCCTAACTTGGAGACACCATAACAGGCTGAGGGGAGTGAACATTACAGTATCGTTAGTACAGTGGTTCTCACACCTGAGCACATTTCAGCCTTGTTCAATCCTCCATCTGCTAGGTGTGGAACAGGATTCAAGATCTGCATTTATAACACCTCTGCACACTAAGATGTTGGTCCCTGGACCATTGAGCATCACCAGCCTACTCTTCCATTGTTCCCACACTCGGACTGAGGACAGAAAAGTGTACCCCAGGACCTGAGCTACAGAACCGTAGCAAGGCCATGTGGCCACTGTGTGGTCTGCAGTGATGTGCAAAGGAGGGGCATGTGACTTGTGCCCACACATACATACTATACACATGAAAGAGAGAAAGAAAGGAAGGAGAGAGGGAGGAAGGGAGGAAGGGAGGGAGAGAGGGAAGGACTCTTGAGGAAGGGAGGGAGGGAGGGAGGGAGGAAGGAAGGAAGGAAGGAAGGAGGAAGGAAGGATGGAAGGAAGGAAGGAAGGAAGGGAGGGAGGGAGGAAAATTTTTGGTCTTTTTTGAGACAGTATCTCCCTGTAGCCCCAGATAGTCTGGAACTCACTTATATAGACCAGGCTGGTCTTGAACTCACAGAGATCCACCTGCCTCTGCCTCCAGATTGCTGGGATTAAAGGCATGCACCAGCACACCTGGCTAGAAAGAAAATTTTTTTGAGATAGGGTCTCACTATGTAGCTTCTAGCTGACCTAGAACTCAGAAATCCTCCTGCCTCTGCTGGGGATTAAAGGCATGTGCCACCACACCTGGCCATAATTTTTTTTTTTTTTTTTTTTTTTTTTGAGAAAGGGTCTCTAGCTACAGCTAGCCTGGAGCTCACCATGTAGACCAGGCTGGCCTTGAGCTCACAGAGATTCACCTGCCACTGCCTCCAGAGTACTGGGATTAAAGGCATGCACCACCACATTCAGTTCTGGTCATAAGTTTTAAAGAAAAAAAGGCCATAAATCTCCAGGCTCTGGTAGCACAGGCTTGTAATCCCAGGTACTCAAGATTCGGAGGCAAGAGGATTGCAAGTTCAAGGCTTGTCTGGGCAACTTAGTAAGACTATGTCACAAAAAGTGAAATGAGGGGCTGGAGAGATGGCTCAGTGGTTAGCAGCACTGGCTGCTCTTGCAGAGGCCCCAGGTTTGATTTCTAGCACCTACATCGCAGCTAACAACTGTCTATAACTCCAGTTCCAGGGGATTTGGCATCCTCTTCCAACCTCCCCAGGTACTGCACAACACAAATGCACTTACATACATGCAAGCAATACACTCATACACATAAAATAAAATAAAAAATAAAGTATTCTTTAAAATGTGAAATGAGGTAGCTGGGCGTGGTGGTGCACGCCTTTAATCCCAGCACTCAGGAGGCAGAGGCAAGTGGATCTCTGTGAGTTCAAGGCCAGCTGGGTCTACATAGTGAGTTCAAGGTCTGCTGGGGCTATAGGGAGACCCTGTCTCAAAAAGACCAAAAAAATAAATAAAAAATAAAAAAGTGAGGTAATAAATATTACCACTGAAATCTACCCGATGACTTTACAGACATACAAAGGCGCCAAGGATCCAAGTGCAACCAATTACAACTAGTAATAATCAGATATATACAGATTAGAGATTCATGCACCAACATCTCAGTGTTAGTAGCAAAAACACTGAGTCTTTCTGCAAGAAACAATATATTCTAAAATGAAATGGAGATCTTTTTTAAAGGTTAAAAACTCACTCAATTTTATGTCTTACAGGGCTTATACTGAGTTCAATATTGTATAACTGTATTAATTCAACTGTGAACCTAGAAACTTATAGCCACTTGTGAGAGATGCACTCTTGCTCTGGAGTGTGTTACTGAATGTGTTAAAGCTGCAATGAAAAGGCTTCTTCTAATCCTGTAGTGATTTTTTTTAAAAAAGTGGAATGAACGCTAGGAACTCAGTAATAAGAACAAGGCTATCTGATCTTTAGTATACACACACACACACACACACACACATACACAAACACACACCCCACTATGGTAAAATACTCCATTCAGGATGGCCCCATCTTCCTCAGCTTAGAAAGATATATTACAGTAGATTTGCATCATTCCTAAACACCACTAAATACTAGAAACAGTTAAATATTTAATTCCTCTCAAAAGCACTTTTTCCCAGGCACAGTAATAAACACCTGTAATCCCAGTCGAAGGCCAGAAATCAGGAGTTCAAGGTCCCCTCGACTATATAGCAATTTCAAAGCCAATCTTAGCTACATGCGACCACATTTCCCCAAACTCCCCAAAAGGGTTTCTTTCAGCTGGGCCTGAAGCACACTCCTTTAATCCCAGAACTGGAAAGCTGAGGCAGGAGGATAGCCACAAGTTCAAGGCCAGCCTGAGCCTATGAGTTTCAGGCCAGTCTGGGCTACAGAGTGAGATCCTGCTGTATAACCATGGATGGTCTGGATGTAGCCCAAGCTAGCCTCGAACTTAAAGTAGTCCTGCTTCAGTTTCCCGAATTCTGGGACTACAGGTGTGTAACTCTACAATGGCCTTCTTTTTAGTTTTATTTCCATCTTTTTTCAAACATTTATATTTAATGATGCGTACCGTGAGGGGTCTGTGAATGGGTATGTGCACATGAGTGCAGGGGCCCAGAGGTGCTGGAACTCCCCGAAGCCTGAGTTACAGGCGGTTGTGAGGCAGCTGACATGGGTGCTGGCATCATCTGCAAGCGGAGTACCTGCACACTCTTAACCACTGATCCGTTTCTCCATCCGGTGTCTTTGATTTCTTCACAGGGTCTCATGCAGCTCAGGCTGACCTCAAACTCACTACATACTTTACATACCGAAGCTGGCCTGGAGCTCCAGCTCGTCCCTGCTCCACCTCCCCAGTGCTGAGAATACAGGCGGGCGCCACCATGCCCTGCTTCTTTAAGGTTTCAAAGGAAATGTTATGGCCCTGCCAGAGGTGGGAAACCAACGTCCAAACTTGTCAGCTTGGACTCGCTCCCTGATGCCACCAGAAGGCCGACGGCTGGCCCGGCTACTGCACCCAGCACTGCAGGCTGGCGCCCAGGCCGGGTGGGGGACGGCTGCGCGCGGCTCACCCTCCACGGCGTGGTTCACCTCCTGGATGAACAGCTGCAGCTTCATCACCAGGGTGGCCGCGTGGCTGTCCGCCTTCCCCACCGCCGCCTCCTTGGGGCCTGCCCTGAAGGCCGCGTTGATCCAGTCCTTCACGTCGAAGTCGTCAGCCAGGAACTTGGAGAAGTCCATGGCGACCCGGCCTCGGGCCTGATGTCAGGCCGGCTGCGCTGACGACGAGGCGGGCAACACGGCGACACGCGGCCGGAAGCCCCCAGGCCCGCAAGTCTCAGCTAGGCAGTCGCCCAGTCAGCGCGCTCCCGAGACGGCCAGATTGACCCTAGCGGCGCGCCGTACTCTTTCCGGAAGTCGACGTCCGTTACCATAGTGACGCGAGCGCGTTGGGCTCCAGGCTGGGAGCGGTCACCAGCAGGTACTACAGTTCTACTGATCTATAAGCTTCCTATAAAATCGTTCCACAGGCCGCGCCTAATCCTCGCAGTCCTTACGAGGGCTGTTCCTCTCTGCGGGCGTGTGATGAAGGAACGGCGTCGTTAGGAAAGAGGCAGTGCGGTTTCGGACTCGAGCGAGGTAGCCGCTGCAGCCTGCAGCACCCCTTACCTCACTGCCCTTACTACAGCTCTGACCTCCACCCACCCCTGGTCTCTCACGTCATTCTAGCCAAGTTTGCCTCCTATTTTTTCCTGAATGTCCCATCTTTACACTAATGTTTCTGCTAACCCTAAGAGAGGAACAGCAGCCGGGCATGGTGGTCCACGCCTTTAATCCCAGCACTCGGGAGGCAGAGGCAGATGGATCGTTGTGAGTTCAAGGCCAGCCTGGTCTACATAGTTCAGGTCAGCTGGGACTGCAGGGATAAAAAAAAAAAAAAAAAAAAAAAAAAAAAAAAAAAAAAAGGAAGGAAGGAACGAACAGCTAGCTGAGAGGCTTCCTTCATCATCTCCGTGGTGTGTGGTTAGGAATAATGTCATTTTCGCTTCTTACTCCAAATGCATACAGCAATTCTAGAAGTCTATACATGTGAAAAACCTGAATTCACAAGTTAGGAAAGAGTATGCTAGCCTTTGGTGAGAGCAAACTGACCATGACCTTCAGATACCTCTATAATATGCTACTTCTTGTCAAACAAAAAAAAAAAAAAAAAAAAAAAAAAAAAAAAAAAAAAGATTCAGGGCCTGCAAGATGGCCCAGCCTTTAAAAGTGCTTGCTGCCAAGCCAAACGACCCGAATTCAATCTCCATAACCCACACGGTTGATAGAACCAACTCCCTCAAGTTGTTCTCCGACTACCCAAGTACACCCCCAACACACACACGCAAGGTTAAAAAAAAAAAAAAAGTGTAATTAAAAATAGCTTTATTCAGTTCCTGGGGCTACAAACCAACCCTGCCTCAAAACAAAAAACAAAACAGAAAACAGCTTTATTGACAATTACAGAACATAAAATTCATTAAGTATGCAAGTCAATGATTTTAAGTAAATTTTGGTTAAACAATCTCTATCAGATTTCTATCGACTAAAAAAAGAATCCTGAAAATTTGCTGACATTTCCAGTTATTGAAAACTATTGATCTGTATGAACTTAATCTTTTCTGAACATTTCGAATACACGAAATCACAGAATATGTAGGCTTTTGGCACCTTCTTTCAGTTAGCATAATGTTTCTGAGGCCCATGTTGTAACATGTATTGTTTATTATTGGATACTATTAAATTGTATGGATATATTACCATTTTCAAACTTTATGTATGGACATTCCTTTTTTTTCTCTTTGTGAGACAGGGTCTCCCTGTAGCTCCAGCAGGCCTGGAACTATGTAGAACAGGATGGCCTTGAACTCAAGAGATCCACCTGCCTCTGCCTCCTGAGTGCTGGGATTAAAAGTGTGCACCACCACACCAGGCCCTGGACATTTCTATTCTATGAACTTTCACAGATGTCTTTTGAGTTTTTAATTTTTTATTTTTAATTTAGTGCATGAATGTATATATGTAAGTGCATGTATGTAAGTGCACCTGGGCACATGCATGTGTAATGCCTTTAGCTATACACATGGACTTGTGTAGAAATAATGTATGTATAATTTGTCAGTAGGATGTTGGACTAATATGGTTTCTTCTTTTTTAAAACTAGCTAAGCATTATTTCTCTCTTCTCTCCCCATTTCTCCCTTGATAATACCATCACCAATGGCCCTACCTCTCTTGCGTTCCTTCTTTCCTTTTATCCCCAAGGTTCCTTGTATAACCCTCCCTCCCTCCTCCCATTTAAATAACCCCATTTTTATCCATTTCTCACTTAGTAACACGTTTCCTATTATTTACTCTCTCAGGTTCTTTTCCTTTACCTCCTTGGTTCCTTTTCATTATCCTGGTTCCATTGTGTAAATGTACCACATTTTCATTATCCACTCGTCAGTTGAGGGACACTTAGGTTGCTTCCATCTCTCAGCTATTGTAAAAAGAGCAGCAACAAACGTGGATGTACAAGTGTCTCTGCAATAGAATGATTCCTTTGGGTATATGCCAAGGAGTGGTATAACTGGGTCAAATGGTAGGTTCATTTTTAGTTTTTTAAGGGTTCTCCACACTTTCCATAGAGATTCCACAAGTTTGCAGTCCCACCAGCAGTGAATGAGGTTCACCTTTTTCCACATCCTCTGCAACATTTGGTATCATTTGTTCTCTTGATCTTAGCCAGTCTGACTGGGGTAAGATGAAATCTTAAAGTGGTTTTAATTTGCATTTTCCAAATTACTAATGATGTTGAACACCTTTTAAGATCCTTCTTAGCTATCTTTATTTCTTCTTTTGAGAACTCTCTGTTCATATCCGTAGCCCATATTTTAATTGGATTACTTGTTCTCTTGATTCTTTTGTGGGTTCTTTATGTATTTTGGATGTTAAACCTCTGTCAGATGTGTTGCTGGTGAAGATTTTCTCCCACTCTGTGAGTTTTCACTTCCTTGGTTGCTTCTTTTGATGTACAGAAGCATTTTAGTTTAACGAGGTCCAAATCATTTGTTGACTCTTGACCCTATTCCTGAGCAATTGATGTCCAGCTTAGAAAATCTTTTCCTATACCTCTATCTTGTAGGTTATTGCCAATGTTTTCTTCTAATAGTTTCAGAGTTTTAGACTTCACATTGAGGTCTTTGATCCATTTGGAGTCAACTTTTGTGCAAAGTGAAAGATAGGGTTCTAGTTTCATTCATCTACAGGTGGAGATCCAGTTTTTCTAGGACCATCTGCTGAAGATGCTGTCTTTCCTCCAGTTTCCCCCAGTGAATGTTCTTGGCCCCTTACAATCCATTTTGTGCGTGTGTGTTTACTGTTAGGTAAAAGTATTTGGTGGGAATTTTTTGTTTTGACCATTTAAGAACTTTTGTTGAAAATACTCCAGTAAACTGCCTTTACATCTTTGTCAAAGTTAGCTGACAGACGGGAGGTAGCTTGACGGGAGAGAATTTGCCTAGCATGTGCAAGGCTCTAGGTTTGATTCACAGCATCAAAGACATACACAAAATGTCAACTGACATAAATGTAAGGGTTTCTGGATTCTTTTTTAAAATTGTTTAGATTTATAGTATTTATTATGTGTGTATGTGTGATGTGCATGTTCAATTTACAGATCAATTTAAAAATGACCATCTTGATTAATACTGAATCTTCCAGTCTGCAGCATGAACTGTCCCTCTGTTCACTTCAATCAGGATGTCGGCCTTGAAACTATTGACATTTGGGGCTACATTTTTTATTACATTTATTTATGGAGGAGGCTTGTTCCTGCCACAGTGCATTTGAAATTATGTGTATCACAATAAAATTTCACTCAGCAAGCATGACCTTACATCATTTGCTAGGAAATGGAAGCAGCTACAGATCACATTAAATGAAAGAAGCCAGTCTCAGGAAGATAGGCATCCATGTTTTCTCTCATTTGTGGATCCCAGGTTTGATACCGATTCCTAAAGGTATATAGGACATGAAAGCACAATGGAGACAGAAGGAAGGAAACTAGCAGGAGGGAGGGAGGAAAAGTATTTATGGGAAAGTAAATGTGGCATACTTGAAAGAAACTGTGTTTATGAACTCAACACCATATATAATCAATATATCCCCTCCAAAACAAAGGAAGAAAAAAACATGTATTTGTAGCTGAGCATGGTGATGCATGCATGTAATCCCATCATTAGGATGGCAGGAACAGGAGGACTGCCTTGAGTTGGAGCCCAGCCCGAGCTATATAGCAGTACTCTGCCTCAAAACAAATGAAAGAAATGTCTATAGTCATTGGGTGGAATGTTCCATATATTTTAGTAAAGATGGTTATTAGTGTGCTTCAAAATGTTATAACTTACCTCTTCCCATTTATCCAAAAGCCTCTTGCAACAGATAGAGACTATTACAGAGTTCCACAACAGGTCAAACACAGAGAATCAGTGTCTGTGAGGTGCCTAGCCCTAAGTGACACTTCTATAATGCAACCTCTATACCTAAGACTCAGAGAACACAGCAGAACAGGGGGCAGAAAGAATATTAATGCATCTCTCAACTCTCACCAATGAAGCTTCCTCATGCAACAGATAGTGATTAACCAAGAAAATCACAACTGACCAAACTGCAGAGAAAAGAGACTGCAGAGTACATGTCCTTGGGCAGGACACCTTTGGCAAACCTCTGCCACCTAGGGTTCAGGGGCCACTGTGGAAGAGGGGGTAGAAAGACTGTAAGACCCAGGGGTGGTGGACAACCACAAGGAAATGGTTTTTCAGACAGCTGGGAAGTTGCACATATGAACTTACAGCAATGGTGACAGCATGCACAAGATCCATGCAAGTTCAAACTAGACAAAAGCCAAGCGGAGAAGAGGGAAAGGGGGAAATGGGTAAGAAGACCCAACAATCTGAGAAACTACTGGCAACCAACTACTATTGGGAGGAGAGTTAGTTTTCTTTAAGGGAGTGATGCTGGATAGGCTGACCAGGCTCCAGTAGATGGGCTCACACAGGATATTTGGGAACAGAAACTTGACTTGATAGGCCTTAACATACATGACAGAATGCATGAAAACCAGTTGGGGTTGGGGGACTATAAGCGGATGCAGATAGGGGGATCTAAATAAGACCAAGATGTATGACATTCACAAATCAAAAAAAAAATTCAAAAACCAACTTTTATATCCTTGATGATCTTTTGAGTTGTTCTACAAATTATTAAAAGAACAGAAATCTCCCATTATTATTGTTGAATTGTCCAACTTCTGTTCAGCTATGTTTATTTTTATTTATTTTTATTTTATGTTTT